AAAATTTTTTTAATGTTTATTTATTTTTGAGACAGAGAGAGACAGAGCATGAACGCGGGAGGGTCAGAGAGAGAGAGGGAGACTCAGAATCGGAAGCAGGCTCCAGGCTCTGAGCTGTCAGCACAGAGCCCGACGTGGGGCTCGAACTCATGGACCGTGAGATCATGACCTGAGCCGAAGTCAGACGCTTAACCAACTGAGCCACCCAGGTGCCCCAAACATTAAAAAAAAATTTAAATGGGCTACAACTTGAACTTAATTTTGTTTAAAACTATTTCCATTGCTTGAAAGAATCAAACACTCTTCCTGATCTAGCAGTGCCTAATGTATGTCTCTGTGAATGTCTCTAGTTTAACTTACCTAGCTCCTTTATCCCATAGGTGCTGATAGTTGATCTCTGTGCAGACAAGTTCTTACAGGAGGTAAGTAACAAATGAGGTGATTACATAATATCTGGGGATAATTGGACAGAAAATATGTGAAAGTACTTAGAGAAGATGACTCAGGCAAGACTTTTAGTTCCTACACATACTGACACTGTGGCCAATCATACAAGATTGACCTGAAAAATTGGGTTAGGTTTATAGCTGTCTCTCCCAAAGAAGGAAGGAGGAAAAGATTAAATGTCATTCTCAAAAGAGGTAACCCTCCTTTGACATCCAGATGGGGTGATGTATAAGGATCTAACTTCATTGAATGTAACAAGCATCCAACATTGATTATGTCTAGATACTCTGTTAGAATCTAAAGGTAAGATGCAGTTTGAGCCCCTCAGACCTTATGATCTAACAATGAGAAGGGGGAGTGGACATATGTATAAAGTTTTAGAAATCGTGTAATAAAGATTTCCACATGGTACAGTAGGGGCAAAAAAAAAAAAAAAAGTGGTCATTTATTCTGGGTCTTGAAAGTGGAAGGGAGAGTTAGCAAAGCCTGCTTAGGGCAACACTCTGTAGCCTGTATATAAGTGTGTGAGCACTCAGCACAGGGTAAAAAAGGATGTTTCCCAAGACTTTGTCTCTTTTCAAAGCGTTTGAAACACTGTTTATTTGTGGATGATCTTTGTAATACAGTGTTAGACTTGTAGATGAGAGATATTTGATGGAAAGGTACCAGAAAATGTCATAAATATATATATGTATATATATTTAAAGACAGTTACGTATACCATAAACATCCTGAATTCTGCTGAATGTAGGGAAAGAAGGTTCAGACTGAGTCTTTAGCCAAAATCTATACAAAGTCACCGGTGAAATTTTGGGGATTTAACTGGTATATGTTTGAGATTTTCTCTCTCAAAGGTCCTGAAAAATCTCAATTTCGTCCCTTAAGGTATCTGATGAGGGTGAAATTTTACCTCCTAAACTCCAAGCTGCCTTGATGCAGATTTTGGAAGAACGAAATGAAATCTTGGCTCAGGAGCAGAATTTTTCACAAGGTATGAGATAAATGGTCGAAGACTCAAAGTCAAGGTGGTAAATACTTACTGAATGCCCAGCACCCTACTAAAGGATGTACAAAAGTATCAGATTGCCTGTGATCTGGAAAGCTTATAATCAGCTTCCTTGCTGACCCTCAGATGTGCTGGTCCCCTTCGGTTTCAGTACTTTTTTTTTTTTTTTTTTTTTTAACGTTTATTTATTTTTGAGACAGAGAGAAGACAGAGCATGAACAGGGGAGGGCCAGAGAGAGGGAGACACAGAATCTGAAACGGGCTCCAGGCTCTGAGCTGTCAGCACAGAGCCCGACGCGGGGCTCGAACCCACGGACCGTGAGATCATGACCTGAGCCGAAGTCAGCCGCTTAACCGACTGAGCCACCCAGGCGCCCCTGGTTTCAGTACTTTTACACTTGCTCTGTTCCATTCATAGAATGCTGTTCTCTAGATAATACACATGGCTCAAGCTCTTGTTTCCCCACAGGTCCATGCTCAGATGTCACTTTCTCAGTGAGGCCTTTCCTGACTGTCCTTTTTATTTATTTTTAATGTTTTATTTATTTTTGAGAGACAGCATGCAGGCAGGGGAGGAGAGGGAGAGAGAGAGGGAGACAGAGGATCCGCAGTGCACTCTGTGCTCAAAACAAGCCGATGTGAGGCTAGAACTCACGAACCCCTGAGCCAAAGCCGGAAGGTCAACCGACTGAGCCACCTAGGCGCCCCCTGACTGTCCTTCTAAAAACTGTACCCACTCCTTCAAGGCTCCCTATCCTTCTCCCTGACCTTAGTTTTCCCCAGGGCTTTTATCACCATCTGATGTACTAGAAATGTAAGGTCCATGAGAGCAGAAACAGTCTGTTTTGCTTTATCTCCAGTACTTGAAACAATAGTCAGCAAGTAGGTACTCGATAAATATTTGTTGAATAAATGGGCGAACAATATTTACTGAGTGGCTTACTGTGTCCCAGGCATTGTGCTCCACACTTAGCATACATCTTTTTCCATCCTTGTAATGTCCTTATGAAGCAGGTATCATTATTTCATCCCCATTTTACAGATGAGAAAACTAAGGCTGTTTACTGATGGAGAATATGAAGGAAGGAGCAGCTTTAGAGAAATAATTAAAAGTTCAATTTTGAATATTGAGATACCTACTGGATATTCAATACACAGCAGACATTCAACTAGAGATATCAAGTAGACTTTTTAAAAAATATTTATTTATTTATTGAGAGAGAAGGGGAGAGAGAGAGAGCATGAGCAGGGGAGGGGCAGAGAGAGAGGGGAACAGAGGATCTGTTCATTGACAGCAGCGAGCCCAAGGTGGGGCTCGAACTCACCAACCGTGAGATCATGACCTGAGCCGAAGTCGGACTCTCAATCGAATGAGCTCTGGGTGCCCCCAAGTAGGCATTTATATACATGAATTTGGGATTCAGATTTGAACTGAATTTGCTATTTTAAAGCTGTGGGACCAAATGAGATAACCCCCTATAGAGTGAGTATAGATAGAAAATAACAGATTTAAGGATTGACCCCTTGGGTTGGCTGGGAATGTTGTGGTCAGATTTCCGATGTTTGGCAGCAGGGAACAGGAGCATCCAGCGCAGGGAAACTACAAGAGCAGCTAGTGAAGGAGGAGAAAAAACCCAGAGGAGTAATATTATAGAAACTGAGTGAAGAGTGTATTTCACAAGGAAAGTAAACAGTGTGTCGAATGCTACGAAGAGGCCAACTAAGATGAAGACTGAGGATTGACCGGTAGATCTGACAATGGGAAGGGCTTAGAGACCTTGTAGCGGCAGATGCTGTGAGATGGTGAGAAGGAAGCAAGACTGGGGAAGGTTCAAGAGAGAATTGGAATGTCATTCAGCTTTTTGTAAAATTTCTTTTTAATGTTTATTTATTTTTGAGAGAGAGAGACAGAGTGTGAGTGGGGGGAGGGGCAGACAGAGGGAGACAGAATCTGAAGCAGGCTGCAGGCTCCCAGCTGTCAGCACAGAGCCCGACGCGGGGCTCAAACCCACCAACCGTGAGATCCTGACCTGAGCTGAAATTGGACGCTTAACCAACTGAGCCACCCAGGCGCCTCAGCTTTTTGTAAAATTTTAATGGAATTAGAAAGGGCCAAGAATAGTTAAGACACTCCTGTAAAAGAACAACATTGAAGGGGCTGCCCCACAAAACACCGATTAATCAGAAAGTCACAGTAATTAAGATCATTCGGTTTTGGTTCAGAAATAAACAGAGCAAGGGAAAGAAAGAACAGAAACTGCGTAAGCATAAGGAAACTTAATTTGTGTCAGTACCAACATTGCCTATTAGCAGGAAAAGAATGAACCATTCAGTAAACAATACTAGGACAACTGGTTTTCCATATGAAAAGAAATGAATATGATCCATACCTCAATCTGTACCTAAAACTAAGTCTGATGAATTAAAGATTTAAATGTTAAAAGTGAAGGGGGGCCTGGGTGGCTTAGTGCAATTCTTGATCTCAGGGTCGTGAGTTCAGGCCCCACATTGGGCACTGAGCCTACTTAAAAAGAAATTGTAAATGTTAAAAGTAAAACATTAAATGTCTACAGAAGAATAGAAGAAAATATTTTAGGGGGCACCTGGGTGGCTCAGTCGGTTGAGCATCTGACTCTTGGTTTCAGCTCATGATCTCACGGGTTTGTGATCGGAGCCCCATATTGGGCTCTGCGCAGTCAGCATAGAGCCTGCTTGGGGTTTCTCTCCCTTTGCCCTTCCCCAACTTGTGTGCACGCATATTCTCTCTCAAAAAAATAAATAAACATTAAAAAATAATTTATGTTTTGGGACAGTAATGAATTTCTTAAATGTGGCACAAAGAGCAGGAACCCTAAAGTAAAAGGTTGATTAATTTGACACATAAATTGTTTAAATCTGTTCATTAAGGGTCACCATGGAAAAGAAATGTAAAACAAGCTACAAACTAGGTGAAGCTATTTTCAACAAATATAACTAATAAAGGAATAGTATTCAGAACTTATTTTTAAGAATTCCTACAATTTGGGGCTCCTGGTTAAGCATCTGCCTTTAGCTCAGGTCATGATCTTGCTGTCCATGAGTTCAAGCCCCAAGTCAGGTTCTGTGCTGACAGCTCAGAGCCTGGAGCCTGCTCCAGAGTCTGTGTCTCCCTCTCTTTCCACCCCTCTCCCACTCACACTCTGTCTCTCAAAAATAAAGAAACATTTTAAAAAATAAAATTAAAGAAAAAAATAAATAAATAAATAAAAATTCCTATAATTCAGTAGTTAAAAAAAGATGAACAACTTGGGGTGCCTGGCTGGCTCAAGTTAATAGAGTGTGTGACTCTTGACCTCAGGGTCATGAGTTCAGGCCCCACATTGGGTGTAGGGATTACTTAAATATAAAATCTTAAAAAAAAAAAAAAAGATGTACAACACAATAGAAAAATGGGGGAAACATATGAACAGTCATTTCATAGAAGAGGAAACGTGAAAAGCCAATAAATATATGAAGAGGTGTACACCCTCATCAAAATCAGGGAAATATAAATTAAAACCACAGTGAGATACCATTTTATACCCACCATACTGGCAAAAGTTAAAAAGTCTGACAATATCAGGCATTGAGGAGAATGTGTAAATTACTTCAGCTGCTTTGGAAAAACAATTTGTCATCATTTAGTAAAATTAAAGGTGTATATATTCTGGGGCACCTCGGTGGCTCAGTTGGTTAAGTGTCTGACTTTGGCTCAGGTCATGATCTCACGGTTTGTGGGTTTGAGCCCCGCGTTAGGCTCTGTGCTGACAGCTCAGAGCCCAGAGCCTGCTTCAGATTCTGTGACTCCCTCTCTCTCTGCCCCTCCCCTTGCTCATGCGTGCATGCTCTCCCTCTCTCTCTCAAAAATAGACTTAAAAAAATTTTTTTTAAGGTGTATATATCCTATAACCTGACAATTCAACTTTAAGATATATACCCTAGAGAAACTCTTAAACATGATAATTAGGAAACAAGTAAATAGTCTTCATAGCAGCATTATATGTGATAGCAAAACTGTTCATTGACAGGAGAATGTTGCCTTAAGAAAAGCGTCTTACAAACATCTGTTTTATATAAGGTTCAAAGACGTACAGAAACCTAAAAATATGTTGTTGGGGTGCCTATGTGTATAGAGAAACTGTAATCTCAGGTTAAGGGAATGATAAATATAAAATCGCAGAGAATCGTCGCCCTCTATTGGAGAGTAGGGGAAGAACATTTCAGAGAGGGCATCACACGGAGCTTCAGAGATAACCCTTGATGATCTGATCTATTTTAAACTTTGGGGTGGGTACTGGTGTGTTCATTTCACTCGTGACCTTATGAAATATTTATACATATAAAAGAATGTACAAATCATATACACTAAAACAAACAAATAATTGAAGATAAGTTATAGAAATGCATAATTTTTAGAACAAAGGGAATTAGATTAAGAAAGGGTACAACAGGTATAAACAACTCTTGAAAAGTTTTGCTGTAAAGTGGAAGAGAAATGGGACAGTAACTGGAAGGGGTGGGAGACTGGGGCACAGGTGTTGACAGTAAAAGCAGTGATGGATCATGGATTCTCAGCTACAGAAGGAAAGAGATGAGAAGGATGTCTGTTGAACAAAATATTTTAAAAATGTACTTTATAATCAATGTAATGCCAGAAGAGACATTAGTGGTCACCTCATCAGCCACCTCATTGTACAGATATGGAAAGAGAGGCCGTGGGGTGGGGGGTGCAGGTGTAAAGCAACTTGCCTCCCATTATACTGCTGTTTCGTGGTAGAACTCTGACCAAACCTAGGTCCGATTCCCAGCCCAGCACGGAGCTAATGGAAAGAGCAAGAGATATCATGAAGGGGGAAAAAAATACTACTAGAAATGGAAGAAAAAGGAGGAGTTTAAGTTGAATCTGAGGTTTGAGCCTGGAACCTGAAAGGCAATATATTTCATGTTACAGTGGTTAAGAATTACCTGACTTGGGAGTCTGGCAACTTCTCCCTGTAAATAGATGAGATGACCCTGGAGAATGTCTTTGTTTTGAGCCTCATTACCCTCAGCTGTAAAAAGGAAATAATACCTGGACCACTGTATCATTACACTTACAAAAGTTCTAAATACAGTGCTTGACATATCTTAAGCACTCAAATTATTCTAGAATAATAATGGTTATAGTATGAAACGGGAAAGTGGAGAGAGAAACTGATTTGGTGGAAAAATAGAATGAATTTGGTTTTGAACATGTATTGTGTATTTTACCAATTTCTCAAAAGGACCTGATTTGACTTTTAGACAGAATTTAAGTGGTAATGGGACAACCAAATGATGATTACCCATCATGGTAATGATAGGTAGGTTACCTGAGTTCTGGTGACATATCAGGGCTACAGATGTAAGGTTGAGAATTATCAACATGGAAAGCCAGCTCTATCTCTATGCCAGTGAGCTCTTTAAGGGTGGGAATGCTGAAGAGAGGTGGTCTGAGGACCATGCTTAGGGAGAGGAAGAAGAGGCAAGAGAAAAACAAATGCTTGGTCATAAAAGCAGGAGAGGGATCCAAAAAATCAGGAGAATATAAAGTTGTGGGAGGCAAGAGGAGGAATGAGGAGGGGATTCGCATAAATGCAGCACAGAGTTTAAAGGAGAGACGAATAGCGAAGCAGATTAAATTTGGCTGGTTCTCACTGGTGGCCTTTGAAAGAGCAGTTACAGTGAGATCACAGATATGCAAGCCAGGCTGAAAGATGTAATAAGAGTATGTGTGGGAAGAAAATGAAACTAAAAATATAAGCCATTGACTTTTTGCAGGTCATGGAGTGTGCAAGAGAGCCAAGAATCGGGATTCTCAGTCCTTTGATCTAGGATTTCCTGTACATGACTTTCATAACCATTTCCCATAAACACAAAACTTAGGGTTTTTCTTTTCTTTCTTATTTTTCTTTCATTCTGCAGCAGACGTGACACTCAACTCTCTGGTGTCTGAGGCATTTGTGAGGTTTTTTGTGGAGCTGGTGGGACATTATTCTTTGAGCATGACTGTCACTGAGCGTGGGGAGCGTGTATTCCAAAGGGAACCATTCCGTAAATCCCACACCTCCCGAAGTGTACGCCACTTCCTGGATCTCTTCATGGAAACTCAGATGTTTGCAGGCTTCATCCAGGACCGAGAGCTTCGGAAAAGTGGGGTGAAAGGTCAGTTTCATCATAAAGTTATCCCTCTGTATTTAGTGAGCACTTGGAGCATTTGAAAATAATATAAACAAAAAATGGTATAAAGCCTAGGGCTCAAAATCTAGGTTGTTATTATGGAAAATATTTATCTTATAATTTTGTTTCAGCTATGGAATCACACTGGTAGAAAGCACAGAGGTTTATTTAAGTGATTTTCAGTAAGTATTGGAAAATTTCACCAACATGAGTTTTCCTTGTAGGTTTGTTTGAGGTCCGGGCCCTCCAGTATTTGGAAACAATTCCAGAGTCTGAGCCCAGTGGGATGAATAGAATTTTGCGGAGTCTTGGTGAGTTGCTTTTTCTTTTTGGATAATGTGACTTAAAAAAAAAAAACAAAAAACAAAAAAAAACCCTTTTGCAGTAAGTATGCCTCATCACAAAAGCTTTATAATCAAATCAACAATATGACCTCAAATACACTGAACATAAACCATGACTTAGTTCCAAAGTTTTTTGGAGAAAAGGAAGTGTTTCTCAGAGGTCAGGATTCTCCAGCTGAGTTGTCCTTGGGTCTGTTTTCCTCAGATAACATAAGAATTTGCATATCATGATTATTAATCTTTTCTAGGTCACATCACTGGGAGAATCTCATAAAAACTGTAGATCTTTTCCCCAGAAAAGTATGCTTCGAACATACAATTTTTAGGGGCGCCTGGGTGGCTCAGTCAGTTAAGCATCCGACTTCAGCTCAGGTCACGATCTCACAGTTGGTGGGTTTGAGCCCGTGCAGGGCTCTGTGCTGACAGCTCAGAGCCTGGAGCCTGCTTTGGATTCTGTGTCTCCCTCTCTCTCTGCTCCTCCCCCACTCAGGCTGTGTCTCTCTCTGAAAAATAAAAAAATAAACATGAAAAAAAGAACATACAATTTTTACATATAATTCTAGGGTATTCATGGACCCTCCTGAAGCCCATCCATCAACTCCAGATTTAAAACACCCAGTTTAGAGGGCATCTGAGGCAAAAGAGGATTTCCTACAACTCTAATTTTACACTTCATAAAGAAACACAGATGTTTATGATTTTCCAATTATAGCTAACTTTTTATTATCCTTTGTGATATTGGAGAACAGTGATGTGGTACCCCAAAACAATGAAGAACCTACATTCCATGGTGTTTATATTGGTCTTTGAAATATGTACCCCCTGGTAACTAGACTTACCATAGGGATCATTTTATAATGTATAAAAATGTCAAATCACTATGATGTACACCTAAATCTAATAGGACATTGTATGTCATTTATACTTCAGTACAAAAAGAAAAATACATGCCCCTAATTAAAATTAGGCCTTATCCTTAACTAGCTGAGAGACCATGGACAAATTATACCTTGAGCTGTTATTTAATCTTTATACCATGAGGTTAGATCAAATCAGTGATTCTGAACTCTGACTACAATGTTTTAATCTCTGGGGAACTTAAATGAAAATTTCCTCCACGCTAGGCTCCAAGAAATCTCTGGGGATCAGGCCAAGTGATTTTAACCTATAGTCAAGGTTGAAAACCACTGGATTAGGTGATGTCTGAGTTCTCTTCTACCTCTATAATTAGACATTTGGGGTTGGCTAGTTGGTTTGTTTGGTAACCACATCCCCTGATAGCTTTGGATGGCGGCTTACTCCTGGGCTGTTCTAAATGACTAAATAGTTAATCCCTTTCCTGAAATAATGTACAATAAATAAAAATGAACTAATGAGAGTTCACTCTACTTTTTTCTCTCTTTAGGAAGTAAAATGAAATTTCTGCAGAAGAAATGAAATCTTTGATAGACTGTCTTCATCCTAAATAGAACAGAAAGTGCCAAAGAAAATATTTTTCCAAGAGTCAGGAGGCCCTGGAGTAGCCTACAAAATCCTGGAAAATTTGAAAAGGTTACAAAGCAGGCCAGGTCCTTGGAGGAGGATTCTCCTGCTGCTGCTGTAGTAATCACTGGAGAGTTGTCGAGAGTAGTCTGGAACCAATGTTCTAATTACTCTGCCTCCATTCCCCACCCCCAACCCCCCCAGTAGCCTTTTCTATTGAATTCTTAGGCTCATTCTTTGTGTTATGTGCTTAGTCTGTGAAGGCATTTGTCTTTTACTAGGGAAGGATTTGGTGTTGCATTTTTAAAAACTGCTCAAAGAGGAGGGGCACCTGGCTCAAAAAAATAAACGAACAGCTCAAAGATGAGCACAATAAGAGAAATTCTGAGTTTCAGGTACTGGGGAACATGATGGAAGTGCAGAATATGCCCTACACACGTAATTCTCATCGCTGAAATATCATGGCAGCTTTAAACCTACGGGCTGTTTGAGCTGAGGCAAGGAATATGCTCATTTCTGTAGCTCCAGCCTAACGTTCTGTTGAGGGGATCGCACTTCCGTGGAAACCCTATTTATTAACACTGTTTTTGAGAATCTCATACAAGTAGATACCTTGTGGCTTCTCCACATTGTGTGGCACGTGAGTAGCCTGTCAACATTAAACTTTGTAGAATTGGAACAGGAAAACATCCTTGCAAGGGCATGAGACTATCCCTCCCCCCTTTTTTAGTGTCTTCCGTGTGCCATGCATGATGGTACCTGTATGTCATCTTATTCAGTCTTTTTTTTTTTTTTCAACGTTTATTTATTTTTGGGACAGAGAGAGACAGAGCATGAACAGGGGAGGGGCAGAGAGAGAGGGAGACACAGAATCGGAAACAGGCTCCAGGCTCTGAGCCATCAGCCCAGAGCCCGACACGGGGCTCGAACTCACGGACCGTGAGATCATGACCTGGCTGAAGTCGGACGCTTAACCGACTGCGCCACCCAGGTGCCCCCTTATTCAGTCTTCAAGTCAACTTCATGAGATACTTGCATCTTGCATTTTACTAATGAAGAAACTGGAATTCAAAGAGGTTGACTAACTTGCCCAGAGTTCTGCAGTAGAGCCAGAACTGAAGCCAGGACTATTCATTTGTGAACACAGAGAAAGTTGATTAGTCCTGCAGATGGAAATTTGAGCTCTGTGGGACCACAGCTATCAAAAAAGTTCTCTTTGAAGCTCGAAGCCAACTCAGCTCTGAGAAGGGACTTCAAACTATAGGTGCCTAAAGGAGACTCATTTTTGGTTCCCCTACAATTGTTGGACTTTTTGCCCTAATTAAATTGGGACTCAAGACTGAACATTTCCTGGACATTCACCACATAATCACCCCGACTCTTAATATCTAAAATCGTAGTAGGAATTTATCAGTGATGGTGTGTTTTCAGTGATAAATGTTATAGATGTCCGTTTGTTTTTCTTCAATTCCTGCTGATGGGTTTAACTGGCATAAAAATATTTATTCCAACTTAACCAAACCTTACAAGTTGTATTATGATGCAGTTTATTGACTTGCACAGTATTGTCATTACAACCCATTCAGGTGCGCGTGAATGAATCTGAAGCAGATACCGTTTAAGGCTGGTGCTATATAATTCTTATGGGCCTAAAAAATAGAACTGAGCCTGTATCTTTTGTAAAATGTTTATTAAGCAGCTAACCCCAGTGGGGCTCTTAGCAGACATCTCCCCATTTGCCACCCCAACCCTGAAGGAAAATCAGTAATTGGGAATTGTTTATAAAATAGGGGTAGGAGGTATTACGGTGGTGAACACTGACCGTCCCTCTGTGAGGAGACCTTTGTATCAGGGATTGAGGTCTTATTTTATCCCTGTGACCTGAAGCTACTTCCTTTTCTTAGGTCTGTTTTATTTTGTTTTTGTAAAGTATAACGAATTCTGGACATATTTGTAAAAAGAGTTGCTCAAGATTTGTATAAAATGTTGTTTATAGATCTTTTAATGAATAAACAAAAATTCCATGGATCTCTAGAATTTTAAATAAAATTGCTTAAGATGTAAAGACCTTCTACACTACTTAAATCTATAACTAGCACATTTATCTGATGATAGTTCGAAAGACAATCCGAATCAATGCTAGACTAACCCGATTTAGTAACCGTGGCCAACATTTCCAGGCTCCTGGCAGACAAAGCCTGGGTCTGGATCGCACACACACAGGGCAGGGCATATAGTCCGACACCTTATTTGGTATTGGCCTGCTTAGTCAAAGGGAGCTGGGAGACCGGGCCCAGAGCCGGTGCTGCGACGGCAGCAGGAGTGGTTGGAAGGCAATGAGCACAATTCTATTTCCGGACACCCTAAAGGCAAAATGACTGGATTTCATAGACGTCCTGAAGGCAAAATGACGCGATTTTGTTGAATCTGGATTTGGTGGGCAATCATTAATCTCACCTTGGAAGTTCCTTTTGTTACGAAGGCCCTTAAGCTTCGCAGCTTTAACTGGAGACTGGCGCCAACTTCCAGAATCTGTGAAATAACTGCATTTATCCAATGCAAGGGCTCTCAGGGGCCGAGAACGAAAGATAGTGGGCGGGTACAGCAAGGAGCTCAGGGACAGAGAAAGACTGCCACAAAGAGAAAAGTTTAAGGGTTGAAGGAGGGAAGTTAGGGGAGCAAGCCGAGTGGGAAACCAGTGTCTCTCTCCCCGCCAAATCCCACTGCCAGTTCCCTCCAAAAGTTTTAAGGCATCCCCCCGCCTAGATATCAGAGTCCTGCCGGCAACAATAGACCTAACTCCCCTCCAAATTGCTCCCAGTCGGAGGCCAAAATGGGGGGGGGGGGCACGCTGGGGGACAGGAAATTGAGGAGTTCCTCTGATTCTGGGAAATCGCGACGTGACGTCACGTCCGACCAAAAGAAAATGGCCGGGCAATTCCCACCCCCTGGACGAGTGCGCCTTCAGAATGGACAACTAAGCATGCGCTGGAGCCAATGCGCAGGCGACGTGTATTACGTCATGGCGAGCGCAGGCGTAGTGAACGGGCCTGAGTCTGCGCAGACTCGGAAAATTTCGGCAAGCCTAAGAATGGCGGGCACGGGTTTAGTCGCCGGGGAGGTTGTGGTAGACGCGCTGCCGTATTTTGACCAAGGTTACGAAGCGCCCGGTGTGCGGGAAGCGGTAAGTTCGCGCTGTCGGTGTAGCTGAATCAGCGCTGTCTAGCCCTTGGTGCTGAAAAAGCACCTTGCAAGTTGCTATCCCTGTCCTGGCCCCTGTTCTCGTTTCTAGGCTGCAGCGCTGGTGGAGGAGGAAACCCGCAGATACCGACCTACTAAGAACTACCTGAGCTACCTGACAGCCCCGGATTATTCTGCTTTTGAGGCAAGTGTGAAGTCTTGAGTGCTGTGAATATTTTGAGAGTTCTAGCCACAGAAAAGTGAATTTTAAATGCCAGCTTTAACTATTGCTTGTTTAGCTATTTATTGTGTAGGTGTTATCGGTCCATTGAAAACAGCTAGATAAACGTTTTCCATCTTTCTTATTCTGAGACCCACTGAAGGACTTCCTGGGGCTTCGCGATCTAACGATGCAAAAAATAGCGTGTACGTTTTTCAGACATTGGCTCCTTGGCGTAAATTTTCAAAGGTATGCCCTACTCGCAAAGGTCTACACTGAAACGAGTAGGCATTTTTAATGTATATAAGCCTAATTACTTAGGCTCCTGAGAACCACTAGAGGGCGGCCTTTGTATCACAGCCTAGATATTTACCGAACATATGCGAATGACTGAAGTGACAAACCGTATAGAAATAAAATACTACTTAAATATTTAGCCCAGAAGTGCACCCAAGATACTACTTAGGGTGTAATCAGCTAAATGTAATGTGAAGTATTACTTCTAAATTAATAGATTCTGTTAGGCATTTAAGTATATACATATTTGAGTTTTTACCCCCCGTTATAGGTAACCATATATTTAATCAAGGAATTCTGTTGTGAAACGCAGGGCCCCTGAGTGGCTCAGTCGTCTGAGAAGCCGATTCTTGATTTCAGTTCAGGTCATGATCGCAGGTCATGGGATCTAGCTCCTGGTGGGACTCCTTGCTAAGGATGGAGCCTGCTTAAGATCCTCTGTCCCTGTCCCCCTTACCCATACACGTAAGCGTGCGTTTTCTCTCTCTCTCTCTCTCTCTCTCTCTCTCTCTCTCTCAAACAAAAAATGCAGTATTTATATTGAAGTAATGTGGGGGGGGGGGGAAGTTGTTTAAGTTTTATTTTTTTTTTAATTTTTTTTTTTAACATTTATTTATTTTTGGGACAGAGAGAGAGCATGAACAGGGGAGGGTCAGAGAAGGAGGGAGACACAGAATCTGAAACAGGCTCCAGGCTCTGAGCTGTCAGCACAGAGCCCGACGCGGGGCTTGAACTCACAGACCATGAGATCATGACCTGAGCCGAAGTCAGCCGTTTAACCAACTGAGCCACCCAGGCGCCCCAAGTTGTTTAAGTTTTAAATAGAGAGAGGTACTCCTGTGATATGTTATTTTCCCATGCATTTTCTAAATGTTACCCAAATATATAATGTTGCTACCCAAATATAGATGGGACCACACTAAGAACTAAGTACAGGGGTGCCTGGGTGGCTCAGTCAGTTAAGCACTGACTTCGGCTTGGGTCATGTTCTCAAAGATCGTGGGTTCGAGCCCTGCACTGGGCTCTGTTTTGACAGCTGGGAGCCTGGATCCTGCTTCGGATTCTCTGTCTCCCTCTCTCTGCCCCTCCCCCGCTCATGATCAGTCTCTCTCTCAAAAATAATAAACATTTAAAATATTTTCAAAAAAGAACTAAGTACAGTAATGCTTCCTTATTAGATTGGCTCTTGAAAATTTCAGATAACTTGGCCCAGTTTTCCTTTCAGCTCTCTCAAATACAACAGATGCCTCCTTTTGTTATAATTAGTATACTGATTATTTAACCCTTTTTTATAAATAGGAATTAATAACGTACAAGGCTCCCCATCTCAGTCCTAAAAACAACCCTGTGAACTATATAACTATGTTTATTATCCTAATTTTTTAAATGGGAAAACTACAGCTTAGGGAAGCTAATTTGCCTAAGACCTTAACCACTCCTCAAACTGCTTTTGAAACTGCTCTTCCCAGGTGCCTGGCTGGCTTGGTTGATAGAGCATATGACTCTTGATTTCTGGGTTGTAAGTTTGAGCCCCACATTTTTACTTAAAAATAAAATCTTTAAGGAGCCCCTGGGTGGCTCAGTTGGTTAAGTGCCCGATTGTTGATTTTGACTCAGGTCATGATCTCACGGTTTGTGGGTTTGAGCTGATGGTGTGGAGCCTGCTTAGGATTCTGTCTCCTCCTCTCTCTGCCCTGCTCGCTCGCTTGCTCACTCACTCACTCACTCACTCACTCAATAAATAAATAAATAAATAAATAAATAAATTTTCTTGGAAGAAAGAAAGAAAGCTCTTGAGTTAATTCATTAAACAATTATTTATGGGAAAAAAACCTATTTATGAAAGTCTATTCTATGCTAGGAATTGGATAGCTGAAATACTACTATAAATGAATACCTAAGCAGTTCTTTATACTCAGGCCAGGAAATGTGCAGAACAGAAATGGAATAGGATATTGACCAAAACATTGGACCTCAAGGAGTGGAGCTCTACCATAGCTCCCAGCTATCCCTTTTTAATTGCACAATTGTTAGAACAGATAGCAGAACCGGTTTCTTTTTCCCTTTCCCCATTTCTCATTCTTTGAAAAGAGTAAAGTATGAAAATGGCAGCCAAGACCAAAAAGAAAGTATGGGTTTAGGCTCATAGCCCTAAAGCAAAAGCAAATTTTTTCATGTCCAAGTCCTTTCCTCCCACCCCCAACCCTGTAAATACTTAGATCACCACTGGCTTCACTATACAGTCAACTGATAAGTTAAAAACAAATGATAATAATGTCCTATCTCCACCTCAGAACACTTATTTTTTTTTAAATTATTTTTTTTTCAATGTTTATTTATTTTTGGGACAGAGAGAGACAGCATGAACGGGGGAGGGGCAGAGAGAGAGGGAGACACAGAATCGGAAACAGGCTCCAGGCTCCGAGCCATCAGCCCAGAGCCCGACGCGGGGCTCGAACTCACGGACCTTGAGATCGTGACCTGGCTGAAGTCGGACGCTTAACCGACTGCGCCACCCAGGCGCCCCTCCACCTCAGAACACTTAAATGGGAGTGGGAGAGAGGGGTAAGATGTGACTGGGATTGAAATTGTTTTCAAAGCTCCCAGCTGATTATTATGTGCTGCTGGGACTGAGAACCACTGGTTGAGGATTTATCCTTTTTTCTGTGGGTCCCTTTACATATGAAGTATGTGGTCTCCTGACCCTTGAGAGCATTTAACCCAGAGAAGGCTTAGTGGGAAGGGAAATGATCCATATTAATGGATAGCATAAAGGACAAATATTTAAGTAGGTTAGATTTATTATTTGTTTGGCGGTTATTAATTGCAATTTGTCAATATGATTTTGGAAATAATTCTTTCTCCAAATCAGACCGACATAATGAGAAATGAATTTGAAAGACTGGCTGCTCGACAACCAATAGAATTGCTCAGTATGAAACGGTAAGTTCTACTTCTGGGTTCAGCTGGACCCAAATCATTGTTCAGTTTTAAGTTACTAGTAAAACTGCTGTAGCTCTGTTAAAATGTTGCAAAGAAAAAAATTCCTATCTGATTTTATATATTTATATTTTTTCATGTAATAGTGGTTTTTATAATTATGTGTTAATGTTCAGATATATTTTTGCACTGTTATTTAAAAATGAAAAACATTTTAGGGGCGCCTGGGTGGCTCAGTTGGTTAAGTGGTCGTGAGTGCAAGCCCACGTCAAGTTCTTTTCTGTCAGCACAGAGCCTGCTTCAGATCCTCTGTCCTCTCTCTCTGCCCTCCCCCGTGCATGCTCTCTCTCATTCTCAAAAATAAATAAAGATTAAAAAAGAAATACAAATGCTGTATTTTAAAATCCAACAACAGAGGAATAGTGTGAATTGTAATGAGGTTCATGTTTTAAAAATTTTTCAAGGACATGTTCCTAATTAGATCTCTAGTTCTTTGCTCATAACATATCTGGGTGAAACCATGTTAATGGCTTATAATGATTCCTGCTTCACTCTTACACAAGGCAGCATTAGTAAACAGAGTGCTAGGATAGTTTGATTTTGGTTCCACTCTCTTCCCTCCCCTGTCACTTTATTTCAAAATTGCTTCTCTCTCAGGGGTGAAAAACCCAAACTTCCTTTGTTACTTTTTCTAAAATGAACAATTGGATTGCTTAACATCTGAGATCCCTGTTGACTTTAAGATCACTCTGGAATTTTGAGAACTGCTAAGTAATCTGTCACAGCCCAGTCCTTTGAGAAAGGGCCACATGCACAGTAGGTTTGTCCTCTCAGCATATGTGTAGATTAGAAGAGGGATTTGAGTCTGTAGAACCAGAAGACTTTATTGCTTCTTCTCTTGTGCTCCATTTCCTGTCTATCCTGAGTGATAAAGGCAGAATAAGTTCCAGGATTCCTCACTTCCTCTGTTTCCAGGTCCTTCTGCTCTATAGATATTCAGGACAGTAACTCCTTTATGGCAGTATGTCTCAAAGCCTTAGACCCATTAAACAGTGGATTGTGAATGAAACTTAATAAGATATCACAGCGTTTTTTAAAGGAAATAGATTAGGGGTGCCTGGGTGCCTTAGTTGGTTAAGTGTCCAGCTCTTGGTTTTGGCTCTTGGGATTCTCTCTCTCCCTCTCTCTTTGCCCCTCCCTCCACTCACACACGTTCTTT